ATAAACCCTATGCTTATATAAATATATCAGTGTTACATAACATAACTGAAGGAAAGCTGCGTATTGTGTGATTTACTTCAAAGTGAGAGTTTTGTACAAGCATTCGCTTTATAGTGGAAGAATAAAAACAATGAAATATTTCAGTATAGCAACTCTTTATGCTGAACGGTCCAGTGGAAAACAGTTTGAAGGACCAATCTGGCATTAAAAGGATGCATTCACAGTAGTAAAAAGCCCAAACAACCCCACAGACCCAAACACCTCAAGTAACTGGAAATTTTGGATTACGATCCTACACTTACAGCTGATTTCAGTGACCCTAAGAGACAGAAGCAAAAATGCAGATCCAAACAATGGTAACATTTTGGAAAACCTGAATAAGTTCTAGGGATTTACACTTCTTGCCTATCTTTACTATATCTTGACTTCACTTTCACTTTTAAGTACTCTGCTAGGTGGGATATTGGAAAGTGTTCAACATTGCTGAAAAACTTTTGAGCTCTTATTAACCATTTTGAAAGGATTCTCTTATTTTCTACAATGATAATGATGCTCAAGATTTTTTTCTTTATGTGCAGTTCTGACATAATGTTGCCTTGGTGTGCATTTTCCCACAAAAATAGGAGTCATTTGTTAATTCAGAAAGATATCAAAATCATTATTTGTAAAGTACCATAACCTTTGTGTAATACTATTTTCTGTAAGATCTGACTTATGGGCATTAGTAGTACTCCTTAGCAGACAAAATTGGAAGAGAATATCCAACACCCAAAATTAATTAGTCTTCTGCTCTCACAAGCTGTTATAAACTTCTTTTAATTTACTAGATCACCAAACAAGGATGAACTTTAAAATACTTAGTGGAAGAAAAATGCATGTTCATTTTCTTTCTATGAAGAAGACATGCATACAAAATAACTATCTGGCAAGACTCATGTTTCTAGTTTAATTACTGTTTAATATTAGGAAAAATATGACATTTCCATATTCCAACTTCCACTGCTCACCGAAAAATGTCTTGGAACTGATGTTAATAAATACCTCAGCAGTCACTTTTAAAAAGGCAGAGGTCCAAGTCTGCTATTTCTATGATGCAATAGGAAAGAAGACAGTTTTAAAGTAGGATTGTTATATAATTAAAACCCTTACTTATTAAGCATTTTGCAATTTCAGAGCACCTTCCATCCAAAGCCTCAGGATGACTGAAAACAAAACCTCACTGGGCTCCCTGGAGGACGATAAGTGCGCCTGGTGTATGTCCTAGGTAGTGCATCATGAGTACACCAGGGAAAAAGATGGCTTGGAGGCCCGCAGCAAGTTAGGGATGTTCCCTAGGAAGGCTGAGGGTCTGGATACAGGTCAAACCAGCAGTTTCTAACACCTCTCCATAAAGCAATTATCTTGTGGCTTCCAAAGTGATGTAAAGTCACTGTTCTGCTCTTACAGTCTATTCATTATTAAAAATGTCACAAACCTTTGCTGGCAAGACTGGTTGTGGGATAAATGGCTGAGGATCTGCTATGGTGGATGTTGCAGCTATGGGAAGCTTTCTGACTGAATTCAACAGGATCTGGATGGGGCAGGAAACTGAACTGCCACATCATTCTTTCAAGGCAGAGTTGTGACAGAGCAGTGCCATGGCAGGCAACTTTCCTAGAGATTTCAGATAGAAAATATTTGGTGGAGGGAAGGATTCAGTTTCCTGGGATCTACGTATGACAAACTTCACATACAATATTTTAAAATATATTTTTAACTAAATATAACAAAAATGATACTCTGCCTTCATCCTTCAAGAAGTAAAAAGTATTCTACAAATACAGATTTTGTGACTCCTGTGAAGTATGACGTATATCATTATCTTGCCCATTACTTAAATACAGCTGCTTCTAAAATGGCAAGGGACAGCTCCTTCACCAGTTGTGAAAATTTACTGTAACTTAATAATACAGGGCAGATTCTGTCAGAACTTTAGGCAGGCACAATGGGAAATGCTCACAGGACTGAGCTTCCACAGCCTCCTCCTACATTTGATGGAGATGCACAGGTTTTTCTAGAATTCAATTCAGTTAGAGTCCTGCTCGGACAGCTCTCTGTACAAGTGTCTGTCCTTCTCAGTTGGCTGCAGAAGAACATTAGCCTGTGTACACTAACTTTTTAGTATCTTTTAACTAGGCGCTAGTATAGCCAGGCATAATCTTTCCATCTACTTACTTCCCTGTCGAGTTTTGTTCACCCCACTCGGCTTTCTGTCCAGGTCTAAGGTGGCTGCGAGGTGTGACATGGGTGGCTGCAAGAGCAGCAGCGGTGGTGGCACAAGGGACCCCTGCAGGGCTGTGTTCCTGAGCTCTCCAGGGCAGAAATGATGATTACTGGATCCTAATGCTCAGAAATCAGGTGAGGCCAGTGTCGAGGGGAGATGAAACCGGTGTGGAAATAGCAAATCCACCGAGGGTGAGGTATGTCTAATGAAACACAAATCATAGAATCACAGAATGGTTAGGGTTGAAAAGCACCTTAAGATCATCTAGTTCTACCCCCCCCCCCCCCCCCCCCCCGTCATGGGAAGTACCCTTGCTATCTTGCCATACATAAAAGTAAAAACGCAAGGGATGGATTATCTGGGAGATAGGTGTCTGCAGTAAGAGCAGATGAAGCTATGGCAAATTAGGGATTGTTTCTTGTTAAGGAAACAGCTAAGAAAATGTCAGTTTTATCTTCTCTTGTCAGAGACAGCAAAAATGAAAGGGGCATAGAACACCTTTCTTATAGTAAGCACTCCCTAAACATTCATAATTTATCTCCATGCTCTAACGCAGATTGTATTCATGCAGATGACACAAAAATGAAATATTAATGACACCACATCCTCCCTTCATCCTCCCTCCCTCACAAATATTCACAAATTTTAGGATGTTGAATATTGGACCCTATTTTTGGAAGAGCTGAAGTCACATAACCCAGCTGACATCACCTGGATTTGCTTAACATCTCTGAACACAAAATAGGACATCTAAGTCAAACACCCTTATCTTTGATTTCATATGTGATGTCCATTCCTTAAAAATTTCGCATTTCCCACCTCTCCTTGAGCTCCTTGAAAATAAAAACTGGGCACAGTCACAGATGTAGGGAACAGTCAGAATCACAGTCTGCTGGTCTCTCCAACTCAGCCATCCCACAAGCAATTGAGTAATGTATATAAGCATTTTTGGATGGAAAAAACATTTACTACATAAAGAATCTTGTCATGTGACTTTTAAGTCAAGCAGATTTTCTTTTTTAATACATGCAATTCATACCATATCACATCTAACCTACATGATACCACTGACAGGAAGTGTTATTTATTCAGTTCCTTATGTAAGCTAGGAAAATAACATTAAACAGACTCACAAGATGATTGTGAAAACAATATTCATCTGACATCCTCCTTACTATTCCCAATCTCAAACCACAAATTCCCCTTTGGGAAAACTGAGTTTTCAATCTGAAATGGATCTAAATCCCTGGAAACTGTTTTTCTTTTTAAAAGACATGCAATAAGCCAGTATGTGCAAGTCCTAACTTAATTAAGCACCAAGAGGGAATGCCTGTCAGGATATGTTCTAAGCCTCAACCAGAAACTGAAATCCATTTTGCAGAAATGCAGCTGTGCCAATAATTCTAGTTGGTAAAAAACATCTTCTGCCCTTTGCCCCATAAAGCTTTCATTTTAAATTTTAGACTTTAGTGAGATCAAGCAGCTGACAAGTAGGAGTGAGGAAATTAGTAGTCTGGGAACCAGGATTAGACCAAAGTTGTGAATAACCCAGCATTACAAGGTTTTAGACTAAAATTTTGCATTTACATCAATGCATACTCACGTTTGCCAGCACCAAAACCAGGATAAAGTTACTTGAGTGCTAATGAACAATAAGCTTTGTATTACAGCAGGCAAGCAAAATCCATCCTTTACAAACTGTTCCATTTGTCATGATCACTTTATACCCATAGCATTTGAAATCATGGATAGCATTATATGAAAAGCTGGCATGAAATCACCAATCTATGTGGTATGTTTGTTTTAAAATACTGTTAAAAGCTTAAAATTCATTTCCATTTCAGAACAATGTTCTGAGGTCTGGACTGCATTTTGGCTCAAGCCACTGGGCTTGGTTAAACCTGACAGTGAGGAAGCAGAAGCCTGGAAGTTCACATACATTAACAAGTTTGCTAGAGGCCTAGCAAACCAAAACCTGAAGCAGGCTGTTTATTTCTGGTTACTTTTTTCAGGGAAGGGGAGGCTATAGAGCTGATCAAAGAAGCCCATTTGTAAGAGCAAGTATTTTCATTGACCCCGTTAGACATTTTCATGCCCCTGGCTATGTCACACCAGGTGACAGTGAGAAGCTTCTTCCAGCCAAGGGACAGCCTGCAGTGCCTGCCTCTTGAAGGTGCAGTGGCTCTCTGATTCACATCCTGCCCTGTGTCCTCTTCCTCTGCTGTCCCTCTGGAGTCTGAGCCGGGCCCTGCCTCTTGCATGCCTCTAACTTCCAGGGACCTCCAGGAATTTGCTGCTAACAACACTGCTAATTACCGAGATCCCCTTTTCCTTTTAGTTACTCTTTTTCTTTGGTTACCAGCAGATGATCTCTGTGCACAGTAAAAGCTTTGTTACCACCCTTTGATATTGTCTGAAGTTGTGTTATGATTAAAAAAATATACACATGTGCTTTTGTCACAATTGCTTTGCCTCTGCTCCGATCAGTTATTTTCCATTCAGAGTACTCCATGCCGCAGGTGGCAACAAAGGCACCTAAAAGAAGGCTTACACACACACCTGCTGCATGAGCTTGTGAGATTACCAGCCTTATTAGCCAATGCAGAGCCCAGTCTAAGATTCAGACCAAGCTTAAACACAAGCCTTAAAAAAGCAAGGGGGGGGGGGGAGGATGATGACATACACTAAAAATTGCCATTTTCACTGCAATGGTACAATTTGACCCCCAAGGGGGTTGAAGACTTTCTGGAGTGCCCAGGGTACTGGGCCAGTGACCCCAGTATGGTGCTGGCACAGGAAGCGCTCCTCATGAATTACAGGGGAGGAGCTCGGGTGGCCAGACGCACAGCACTGCCTGTTTTGGCTCCCTCTAGACAACCTGATGTTTTCTCAGGGGACCAGGGCTCTCCATAGAATTACAGTAGTGTAAGTCTTTTTACCTGAGACTAAAGCTTTCACTGGTTAAACATTCATTAACGGTCTTAAAGCAGGCTTCAGGTGGTAGAAAGTGAGCAGATCTTTGCCAGCGCTCCACAGTGTGTTAGATACTTTGTGTCCATTATTCATGATGCTGTTGCTACAGGCCCTAATTTTACATAAATGAAAGTCACAAGAGAACTGTTAGGACGAGCAGCTAGGAAAAGCACAGGAAAAGAGCGCCTCGTCAGTCGGTATTAAGTATTAAAGACACAGTTTAGTATTACATTTTCTGATTTTGAAAGCCTCTTGGGAGCAGAAATATGCAACACATTTTCTCTGAAGAGTGACAAGTTGAAACCTAAAATCTTGAAAATGGTCTTTAAAATCAATTTTTTCATGTCCTCTGCACAATTCCATTCCAATTCCCCACATATGAAAAATACATAACCTCTTATCTCCAAATTCATATGCCTTATAGTTCCTTTTCCTTTTAGCTCCTTTTTAAAAACTACTAAAATCTTATCTTAGCTATCATGTAAGCTATTGTTCCATGCCTGCCGCGGGATGCTGGAAGATTTCAGCCTTTACAAATTGTCTGGCAAGTAGCATATTATACCTTCTCTGATGATAGTAACATGCACACTAATAGTACCAACCCAGCCATACAGCAAGCAGATTCGGTGCAACTGAAATAATTAATTCCCCTTCCCTTATCAACATAAAAAATAGAGGCATATAAAAATACTTACTTTTCTATCTCACAGCATTTATAGCAAACATGTATACATAGCAAACACATATTTATACCAAACACACTGGACAGTATTTCAACATTCTCCTGTAGGAGAAATGACTTTAAGCTTCAGGCACAGAGTCCATGACATGTAAATTAATATACACTTCACAAGATATATCATAGTTGTGAAAGTAGGTCATGCATTTAAGGCATTTCCAGACTGTTTCTGGACGTAAATATTCTGAAAACATTCTTGTGTGTATAGAATAATATTTTAATTTTTTTATCAGATTTCATTTTCTAAGGACAGTAAAGGAATGGCTATTTCTAAAACTCCTCATAGGTTAATAAGTACTCTTTTGTAACCTTTTATAACTTTATATAGCATATACCTAAGGGAATTGCATGTTTGAAGCACATCACAAAAAAGCAGATACAGTAGGAAAAGTTGAGTGCAAAGATCACACTCTGCAGATAGAGGGATCCTGACTAAATGATATAATGACATTTTCAAATGTTTACTACCTTGTATTATTTAGGGACTCCTCAAGACTGGTGTTGGGTATTTGTTCACCTGGCTATAAGCAAGTTATTCCATGAGCAAAGTTAGCTGGTGGGAGAAAGTAAAAAAGGAAGAGAGTCTACGTGTTTGTAATGTGAATTGAGTTTCCAGGCCAGAATGTCTGTCAAGAGAATCTAACAAACCCAAGGAAATTAAAATCAGCACTACTATCAATTTATCCACTAGGTGTCACAAAATAATCACACAACCAGATGAAAAGCAATTATACCTAAAATGTGTCAGTGTACTACATCAATGAAGTGCTGCTTTGAAACGAAATCTGTTATAAGAGCAGATGCAGGAAAATGTCATGAATCTCATGAATATACATACTGTCAGGAGTGTATGGGAACCTGAGCCATGATACACAAAAGCTGTTGCTAACCATGGTGTATGTCATGTAACGAATTCACGTACAAGCGTATAAATGTTCCATTAAAAAAAAAATAAAAAAATCTTCTTAAATCCTAAAAGCAGTATTACCAGTTCTCAGAATCACAAGTCTTATGCTTCTTGCTTTTTAATACTCCAGCTACTGAACTAATGCATTATGTTAGATTCTCTACAAATACACGAAAATCCCTCACAACTACAGGGAAAACGCTGTAAAGAAAATAAGTTCTGAAGGCTAAAATGTATGATGAAAAGAAGCAAAAAAAAAATTATTAATATTATTATAAAATTACAACAAATGCCAAACAGTGGAGTTTACAAGATGCTGACAGACACTTCTTATTAGCCAGCCTGCTCTTACAGAAGGGTATATTATGAAGGTTAGGGTGGAAAAATACCAAATTATTTTGTAGCCATTATTCATGAGAAATTAACCTCTACATTGGAGGTATTTTTCATCTTAAATATTCCTGGACCATTCTAAATTCATAATCACATGTACACCTGCACTCATCCAAGACACTGGCTGCAATAAAGGATCAAGACTGGGCTGCTGAAACAGGCACTTTGGTTTCCAGAATGGTTTTTTAGTAACAGTAACTCCAGAGTTGCATAAGAATTTTACAAGCCAAGTACACTCCAGTGTGAGTTTATCATTATCTGTACTCACACGCAGAATCATCGAATGGTTAGGGTTGGAAGGGATCTTATAGATAACGTAATCCATACAATCAAAAAAATGTAATCAATAGTATATGTAACATAAAATAAGCTGGTTAGATAAGAGGAAGAAACAGATCCTGGATATTTTTTGTCATATAAACATAACAGTAACAAGGCTATATACACTCTGCTGACAAGTGCCATTTCATAAAGCCAGCCTAAGCAATGTTAAAAAACCCTTCCCCCTTTTCAGAAATGCAGGTAAGGAACATAAGCCTTAATACTGCGCTGTCTGTTTATACTGCATTTTCTATGTTTTATCACCATTGTAAAAGGCAAGCATTTTTAGGGGATAATTAAGCTCAAATGATAAGGTTTGGACTTTTTACATAGTCCTTTTTCTCGAAGATGTTTTTTCTAAATGTCAGAGCTGGCCAACAGTTTCCAAAGCTTTGAAATAAATACTGTCTAACTTGGGGATCATAGGAAGGACGCTTTTGTTCCCTGCAATTTTCCCTCCTTTTATGAACGACTCAATTCAATATTTGTGATTACAGGAACACAAGTACAAAGCTGAGAGAGAAACACTGGGTTTTTTGCTTCAAATACTAGGATAACTTTATCTGTATATAATAAAGGAGTCTGGTGGTTGTGAAATATACTTTCAGAAAAAATGAAAACTATTCTCTGAAGTTCTCCTCACATCAAAACCATTATCTGACTTTACAGAACCCTCCTATGATGTCAATTTAAGCTGACAGAATTCAGAGCATCATGAAGTCAATGAGAATTTTGTTATCAGACTTCAGTGAAGCTGTGATTTCACTTCAGGCAGAACCATACAGAAGAAATGCTGAGGTAACTGTTCATTACATAAAGCCCTGACTTGATGCCAGAAGGTGAATTGATCAGATGCACAGTATTATTAATTCCATTCTGATTTTTAACAGGTTGTTCCTTTTCACTATAATCTTTCAGTGGTCCAAGTCTGCAATATTGTTCTTGTTTTAGTTCTTGTTAGGAAGGTAGCAAAGAACCGCAGAATAATTCAGGCTGTAAGGGACCTCTGGAAGCATCTGGCCCAACCTCTTGCTCAAACCAGGTCTTATTAGGTCAGGTTGCTCAGGCACGTATCCAACTGAATCTTGAACACCTCCAAGGATGGAGAATCCACAGTCTCTCTGGGCACCTGTCCCAGTGTTTGACCATTCTTTGGTAAAAATCTTTTCTTTGTATCTGACTGGAATTTCTCATGTTCCAACTTGCAGCTGTTGGCCCTTGTTCTATTGTTGTGTGTTTCCAAGAAGAGTCGGGCTCCATCTTCTCCTTAGCCTGCGATCAGGTAGTTGCAGACAGCAATAAAGCCTCCCTTTTGCCTTTCTCTTTCCAGCCTGGACAGACCCAGCTCTCTCAGCTTCTTGCTTACCACATGCTCCAGCCCTGACTAGACTGGTGACCCTCCATGGGCTCATGTAAGTATGGTGGTATCTTTCTTGTACTAGGGTGCCCAAAACTGGACGTAATACTTTAAAAATAGTCTCACAACTGATAAATTGAGGAGCATCACTTCTATAGAGCTGCTGGCTGTAGTTTTGCTAACACAGTGGATGCAGTTGGCTCTTTGTCCAAAGGGTACAGTCAACTTGTGCACCAGGACTCCTAGATCCTTTTCTACAGAGCTGCTTCCTAGACAGTTGGTCCCCAGCCTGCTTCATTATAATCTCACTGATGGCAATATATACGTATATACACTATTTCTCAAATCATCAATATTAAAACCTTCCTCTTTTTTTTTGTTTTAATTTTTATTTGAAAGCTTATCTAACCTGGGCCTCATCTGGCCTTGAAGTGCCATGAGTAAAACAGCTTAAGAATGTGAATGTACAGCAAATGTGCTTCCCATTAGCTCTTAATGCCATAAATCCAAAATCCTTGATACTGCTGTTATAGCAGAGCTTCCACTCATATCTTAAAGAAGCTTTAGACAAGATAGTAAGTCTCAAGAGCAGCACACAAGACACTTTTGTGTAGGACAGGCTTTTAAATGTATGTGGTTAAGAGGTCCTGCCCTTGTGCATCAATTTCACTTAAAATGGAGTAATTTTAAACTACATTAAGAACTATAATCATATTCTACTATCATTTACTTCTTCATATCCTCTGCCACTAGAAATAAGCTTGAAGAAAGACATCCAGCCCCAAGTGCGCTATTCTGGGAAAGTTTCGATTTAGATGAGAATGTTAATGCTCATAACTACATGACTTTCTTTTTAAGCTTAATTCAATATGAATAAGTGATTCAACTTGGTTTCTGCTCATTAGTGAGCACTTGGAAGGAACTGGTTAATCATTGTTTGCCATCTGAGTTGGAGAATCAACACTGTACAGAACCTTTTCTGTAGCCAATGTAAAACCACAATGCACAAAGAGCACTAAAGGAAAATCCTGTTTTCAGCTACAGTTTTGTTGTTTTTTTTTTTTCAGTGCACATAAAATGGTAAATATTTTGTGGTTAACCCCCTCTCACTCTTTGTCAACACTTTTCTCTGGACAGTGGTCTCTGTGGTACATACCACATCATTTAGCAGTCCCTATAAAGATACAGCAATAGTGCTGTGGAGAAGCATAGTGGTCTGTTCAGTAACAAACCTACTCACAGAGAGCCAACCTATCAAACCACAAGGTCACCTTTCAGAAGGAGGTCAGAAGGCTGCAGGCCACATACAAGATGCCACCTGTGGACTTTGCTGTAATTTACTTTGACAGAACACAAACCTAGAGAAATATTAGCAGCATTATTAGTTTCAGCTCCCCCCCCCCCCCCACTTCTTTCTTCATATCTGATCAGCAAATTGCTCCTATGGATTCCCATTGGACTTCCTGGCCAAAAATGAAGGCAGCCCCTTTCAGATATTTGCAGTTCTCTCAGAGAGGCTCTGAATTTCCTAAACCTCTCCAGGCTTTTTTATTAAAACCAACTCTTCAGTTCTTCTATACATACAGGCCAGGAGTTAAAATGCTGTACTGAGTCAAAGAAAAGCATTTGCCTCTTCACAGAAAAAGTGAAAATGAAAGGATAAAACTGGTTGGGTATCCATGCTACTTTCTGCTTATCTTCCCCATCTGGTGACACTGACAAGAGCTGTGTCATAATTAGAAAGGGAAGGAAGTTTTCATTTTTAGATTAGTTTTGGAATCCAGAATCTTCTTCAAAAACGTGGGTTTTCTTCAAAATGAGGAAATATATATGTGAAGGATGTAAAAACATTCCACTTAAACATAGAAAGATTGCTGAGAAAAGGCCCTTTATAAATGGAGGTTTTATTAAAATATACGCTGCTAACGAGTGGCAAAACTATTCAGAAGAAATGCTAAGCATTAGAAAATCAACACTGCTAGGCTGCCTCACCTACCAAGGGTCTAACACTGGGGACCATAATTCAGGTTATTAAAGTCTTTTTTTCAAGATTGATTAAAGTTCATTTTAGTAACATCAGCAGGGAACCCTGGCTCCAATGATCTTAATATTGAGAACGCTAAAGACTGAAGTCTTCCAGTAGAAAAAAGCGTGTTCCTCTAGGCCTTCTTGCAAATGCAAAACTCATAGTGCATTCAATCACTAGAAAGGCCTGTCAGTGAATGGTATTTTTCCTTTAAAAAACTCATAAAAAGAGCACTAAGAAATGGTCCCTCTGACTTCTTTTTGCTCACGTCATAAACTTTAATCATCCTCCCTTTCTTTGTACATCTCCTGGGACATACAACAACTGGGGAGACCTACTCTTGCAGATTTCTGAGACCTGCCAGTTGTTTGTAATTTGAGATAACTGGTACCAATAGAGATCTTAAAAGGAGATCATCCAGTAAGCCTTTGGAGACTTCTAGGTTCAGGACCCAGTATTTTCTAATGTGCACTATAGGTCTTCCTGAGAGTACTGTTGGGAGTCCCCCACTATTACAGCTTGCAGCAAGAGAAAGAGAGATTTAATGAGAGCGCTTCACAGAACAGCTATATTGTCTTCCAAAAACCTCAGCAAAAAAAGTCTTTGAAACAAAAAAAGAGCATAAGGAGGGAGGGAAGAAGGTCCTTTGAGAGAGCAGGATTCATTTCACAACTGTATCACAAATTTCCTTCATGATCGTGGGCAGATACTTGTGTCAGGTTTTCAGAAAAATAAAGTCAGCTCTCCTGGTTTCTTTAGATGAAATAACCAGCCAGACTTTCAAAGGCAAACCACAACCTTGTTGTTGGTCTCCCTGAAAATGTTACAAGATGAGCTGACCCATGCTGAATGCTTTTAAATATCTGTCCTCAACCTTTGAGGCTGTACATCCTAAAGTATTGACAACTGTGCTTCACTTCCACAACTGTAAAGTATTATGTTCCTGACTCTGTGAGCTGAGGAGAACGATTTGTAATGTCCATGAACCAGCTTTGGCAACGTACAGATCATGTAAGCATGTAGACTGATACAGGGTATCTGTTCCCTAGGCACCCATCTCCTACTTCCGATTTTGAGAAGAAAGGAAGTGAGATTCTACAAAGCCCAAACTCATGATCATGAGATGCCACAGATGCCAGAGTAGGTTGCTCTAAGCTCTGTGAGAAACTTGGCCTTCAGGGCAGTCATGGGACTGAGTAGGGCACTTTTCACTCTTTAACTGAGACAAAGCTCCCCTCTAACATGTGTCTGAGTTCAACTATTTGCTATGTGGGTATACAGCACCTCATTATAAATCAGACATATTTAGACCAAGATCTGACTTCCTTTCCTAAACTTCGCAATTCTTTAACAGCAACAGAATACTTAACCCAGCAATTCAGATTCCAGTTCACATCATCTTAATATGTCTTCGAACTCCTAAAGGTGTCTTAAAATACTCTGCCTCTACCATAAGGGTCTCCAGCTTGCTTAAAATTTAACTAAAACATTTGGATGCATTGGGATTAATACACCCGTGCTCAAGGCCAAACTCCTGCCACCCAGATCACCCTTGGAGCATTCCCTCATGAGGAACACCGTGTTTCTTGAATTTATTTTTGCAGAAGGATGTGGAAACACTTTAATTCACTGCTCATTAGGGCGAGATTGGCACAAGTAATGATCTGAAATAGCTGCAAAAATTTTCTCTACCATCCCTCAGCTGGGTCCAGCAGAAGCTGCAAGTCAAAGGCCTTGCCAGCAGGAATTTCATACCAATTGACTCCACATTCTGCAGCCATTTTTCTAAGAAATTATTATTTTTTGTAAAATCAATTTAAAAGACCCATAGGAGGACGTATCTATAGTTTTCTGCAGACATGTAAGAGTAGACAGAAAGCAGATTACTAATGGCAGAGGGCATTACTAATGCCCTTAAACTGGGCAGGAATCAAGCACAACACAACATAAGGTTTGAACAAATACTTTCAGTCTTTTTCTATGCTAAGACACAGCTATATAGGGCTGTATTCTTGTAAACACAACCCAAGAGAGAGTCTATGCACTGACATGAACATCTCTGGTGGAGGATCATGCATTTTTTATACACATTTTCCATAAAAATCAACAACCTTTCTCTAGCATTCAACTCATTATCCACACTCCCCACATCACCATATCAACATTTTATTTGAAGTATCAGTGATAGCATCCCATCAAAATTTAATAGCCACTTTCTATAATTGAAGCCTATTAACTCTTGGTTTCACCTATGCTAAGGTTTAGCCTTCCCCTTCTTTTAAAATTCTAATGATATTAAAAATAAAATACCTTTCTACAGCGTGACTCAGAAATGCATAATATTGCTTTCTTCAACTCATGGTAAAGGAAACAGAAGAAAAGGCAAAAGAATTCTGTGTTCCAGTTTATAGATTTATACTGAATCTTGTGTGTCAAATGAACAGGGCTTTTAAGGAAAATGTCAACAACTGTAACAGTTACATAAGATACAGTTAGAAAAATATTTTGCAAGGTAAAATGACAGTTTCTGTCACTTGAGAAAATGATTTATACTTGAGTTTTAGAATGCAAGCAGCCAACATGTGACCTGACATTTACTAAAGAAAATCAAAGAGATGTTCAGCAAGATTACAAAAGGAAAATCGTCCTATACCAGCAGTTCCGCTCTGTACTACAGAAAGATCTGCGTAGTCTTCCTCTCAACAAAATGCAAAAAAATAGAAAGAGAGGTCACAATAACAACTCTCCCTTTTGGCATTTTGTGCCTTTGCTCAGTTTATAAAGGCCATCTGGTGCTATTTATGCTGGCCTTTTTGCACTGCGTCTCATGTTGTTCTTTATGAACCAGCATGATCCACATTAACTGCATGCCTTAAGTTACTCTGCAAGAGAATTTGATGGTTAAAACAGTGCATAAAGAATGTATAGCTCTTGATGTACACATTCCAGACATGACAGAACATAGTGAAAAGGACACCAAATGCAGGGATGTCCAAATAGGAAGGATGGCAGGTCGGGTGAGTTGGCTTTCATTGCTGGCTCTATTACACACTACCTATATGACTTGAAATGATTACACGAGGCCTTTGGGGCTCAATTTTATCACTTTTTAAATGGAGATCATAATTGCCTATCTCACGTTCATTAACGGGTTCAATTCAATGATAGGCAGATGGTCAATACAGATTTTATGCATCACTGAAGTAACATTTAACCTCAGAACTCAAGTGGCATATAGCTTGTGCCAGTCTCTTAGCAGTCACTGTGTAAATATTATACATCCACATTACTGAAAATATTTGAGAGGCATGAGTTGTTAGTAGTGCTGATTTTGCTTTCTTCGAGTTACAAATCTACAGGATGACAAATGTAAAAGACATATTCTTTAACTGCAGTGTAAAACGGGTACTAGCACATCTTCTTGTAATGGTTATAAATGACAAAGAAAGAGAAAATGGTACAACTCCTGCACTGAGTGTACCGTGATTTAAATGAATCCATGAAATGATCATTTTAAAGTCTCAAGAACGACCATTGATAGTATCTGGAGGGATTTCAGCTTGGTGTTGGGAGAAGGGTTGTTTTTATTGGCCTCTGCCAAAAAAGCCCTTAATTCATGAATGTGACTGTCATTTACTTGTAGAAATACAACTCCAATTCAGCATAGTAATGAGTTTAAAGATGTATCTTAAAGATATTTCTAAAGACATAAACACTCACTTTGCTTACTCTGGCAATCAAACAGAAGAAAAAAGCTCTTTTAAAAACATTTTTTTCTAGGTTTCTGAGGACTATTTTTAAATTTTATTGCCAGAAGTAATCTACCATGAAGACCTAAGCACCAGCAAGAAATGAATCTCCAGTGTGATTGCTATGCATACCTTGTCATTTCCTCTGCATAGATGACCAGTCTTCACTTATTTAATCTTCCAGCTTGGTTCCCCACTATGTTATTCTTTCTGTTTCAAAAAGTAAAGGAGAAAAAAATAATAAAATCTGTATGTTAGCATTATGAGGGGAAAAAAGTGAGAAACAGACACACAGACATTAAATGCAGGCCTTCCAAATTCTTTTCTGCAGGTGAGGAATATGCTTCAACAGAAGGCCAGTGTCCCACTTCAAACTTACTTTGAAAGCCTTAATCGATGGTAGATGGGGCATGAATGGCACTTTGTAGAGGGATGACTTTACCGTCAGGGGAAGCAATATGACTTCAGATTTTGGACACTACTCAATTTAGCTGCCACAGACCTTGAAAGCTTTGAGTTAAAAAGGTCTCCTCTACTTTTACAGCCAAGCAATTTTAAAGAAAAGTTACCAGATAAAAATATTTCAGCCTTTACTCCTGCATATCAGCGTTGTTTTCAGTCCTTTAAAACTGCTATACTGATTGGCAGCAGAAAGATTAGCTGTGTTCCGACTAATCAACAAAGCATGGACATCAATACATTACGTATCAATTAATCATAAAATAGTAGTATTCAGCTGTTTAGTCTCAGTAGCCAGTGATACTAATGTTTTTTGATAATGTGTTTGTGTCAGTAATACCTCTGCCTGCCCTTTGTGATTACAGTGAAATACAGGCGCAACTAATTACATGTAAAAGTATTTATAATCTGGTGAAATAACTTCTGTTTTCTTGTATTGTGATAGTCATAGAACTATGAGGAATGTGAAACAACACTTGATAAATTGTTCTGGGTAATCTCACAGAAGTGATGCTATGACAGTTCTCTGCCTATTCAGCAGACTGAATACTTAATCTATTCACGTCTTAATGCTTCTAGTTTTTTACAGCTAATTCTGCTGATGGTTTTTGAAGAAAGGTTACTTTTCTCCATAATGACCTCAAAACTTGCATATATTCAACACCCCATCAAATATTCTTGGAATATTGCTTTCCTCCAACAAAAAGACACCTCCCTTTTGGCATTTCCCAATTCATACCAATGCCTATTCACTTCTTATTCCTATCCTCTCTTTCTATGAAGCTGTGAAGATATCAATTATGTTATGGCTTTTAGAAGCCCCACCCCCCCCCTTTTTTTTTTAATTTATGTCCCAGACTGATTTTCTGTTTTTTTTTTTCCCTACCTATTTCAGTATTGCTCTTGCACTCCACAGTATACCTTTATGCTTTCCCCACATTTTTCCTTTGGTAAGATTTTCCCTCTCTTTTGTTGCTGCTTCCATAATTCACCCAAGTACCAGAATAGTCTGGCTTATTTTTCTCAAAGCCACCATCTCAGTACTGCTTTATTTTGCCTTAGTGATCAGAGACCAGTTTCTCTTCTTCTGCTCCTTTGGTGACAAAATACTTTGCTCACAATTCAGCCTACTCTGAAAGTGTTAGTACATCTGTGTACCATTCTGAACAGCTGAAATAATTTATTTTAAATTGTCACTCAGTTTATTAATAAAGAAGAAATATACATGTGTATTTTTCCTTAAAATAGAATATAGGTACTGTACACAAAAATAATCTTCAGCTTCAGTCAGACATGCGGCCAATGGGAACCCACATGCAGAAAAAAGTCCAGACACAAGATGGGACAGAAAAGCTACAGATAAAGAAACTGTTCAAACATGACTACTTTAAAGCTGTATGAAGAGTATGTGTTGACACAGTGCTACACTGAGACTTTATAGACATGGTTTTCAGACTATTTCATTATTACAGTAGACTACAACCCTGCAGGTGTTTAGATGTGAAAAACTTTACTCAGTCATGTCAGTGTTTTCATGATTGGATCTTAAATTCCTCCTCCAGAGAGTTAATAAGTAAACCCTCACTTTTAGATTTATCACAGAAGAGCAGCAGTTCCCCAGATATGACTTATGCTGAAACATGAGAACGTACAAGAAGCACCATATTAAACTTGTTCCTGTTTTCTGAAATGCACTATGCCCACGTTTCAAGGACTTGAATACAGAATTGAAATTAAAGATGCTATGTATAATTCTGAAATTGGGTATTACTGAACATCAGATATATTGTTTCCCAAGCAACAAATATGACCTTTCTTAGCAAGAACTGTATTTTAACATTGTGAGTAAAAGCAAAAAGAGAAGGCAAGCAGCAGGAGTGTGTTAACTACAGTATTTGAGACAGCAAAGTGTTACAGCCTGAGAGTCAGTGAACTAATGATAATGCATATTTAGAACAGAGAGTAAAATTGTTCTTTGCACTCAGTATCTACACACTGAGACAGTTAAGCAAGTGTACATCTAGTTTTAGTCTAAGTCACAGAGCTAGTCATTCCTCACTATACAACGCACCAAAAAAGGTGCTAGTGATAACCTCAAGGATTAATAAGCAAATCAATTTACCTGTTTTAGCTTAACTTGAGTATATATTTTTGAAGGCCAGTAGGAAAAGCCACCCTTTTACAATAGCAGGTTTCAATACAACAGAATTGGTGTTTTAACTCATGATTACCTAAAAGTAGTTCTTACACACAATGACAGTAGTGCAATGCAAAACACCAAAAGTACAACTGACACATAATGTTCACTAAAACGGAAAAGCCACAGTTCACTGTAAAGCAATGCAAGATGTTTACTTAATGGCAAGAAAGGAGAAATTATCCGTCTAATTAATTAAAACTCCCAAAACAACATGACTGACCAGAACTCTGCTGCTGGGGTGTTTTTGACCACTTGAACAATACCATGCAAGTATTTTCTTGAAGACTTGCCATCAAGGGGAGTAGGTTTGAACCTACATTACCTCTTAGCTGACTTCTAGAAAGTGGAAGCCCATTGCTCCGTTTCTACAAGAATTATTTCCTCCATGCAGTAAGCTGTAATTTACAGTTAGCCTTAACTAGACTATTGTGCAAATTTTCACAGGCCTTACAGGTTCTCCATTCCTCCTCCTCTTCCCTGTACTGGTCAGGCTGCTGACCAATCTTTTTTGAGGAGTTTTAACATTTTTCCTCTCCAATATCCAAAGATCCCTGTGTATGACACCTGAGTCATGGATTGAAAATACTTGCTTTTCTATTGGAAAATTCGAGAACTGAAACTAGCAGCAAATTCCTATGAAGAATAAAAAGCACTCGCTGAGTGGCTCTCTTTAGTGAAATGTTTCCTTTCAGAAACATAGTCACAATAGTAACACAGCTTATAGCAACTAGGTTTTAATAATGTATCACATGAAACTTTCAAAAAGTGACTTTCTTGGCTTCCCACAGGAAAAGCCTCGCTCCGAGTTTCTACTACTACTGCTAAAAAAACCTACTGAACTTACTCAACTAATAGCACTCCTGACAGGCTCATTTCTGTTTCACATGGACTAAAGCATTTGTTCAGAGAGATAGACTGCTAAAAGGCAACCTAACCCCAACTGGAAATACAGGCCTATGCTGCCCATTACAGAATTATAACCTCCAGCATCAAGACCAGGCTAGTTTTATTCCTTTAAAATGGTTAATACTTGCTCTCTTGAAACAGGAATTGTATTTAACAAAACCTGATTTGAGCTCTAAATGGTCATTGAACAATCTAGTGTCTTCAGTGTTAGCTTGCTGGGTCTGATGCTTTTATTTTTTAACTTCAAGGAACTTAATTCAACTTTAAAGAAAAGAACTATCTCCTAAATAGACCTTGGAAAATTGTAACTCATTTCTGCTTCACCTGTTCAGATAATCTCGGTGAAAGTAGAACAATGAAAAGCATAGAATAGTATTTGTGGTCAAATGCAGTTACAGGGCTGCCGTTTCACAGGTGAAACTTACTAAAATGCAAGGGATAGGGTTGAAGTAGGATCTCGATGAGGTTGCACCACTAATCCTATTTTAGGAAAGTGTTTGCTATGAATATTTTTTTGGAATAATTTCGTAACTGCCATAAGACATCCCAGGTGTGGTAACTACCACTGTTTCATGTATCTGTAAGCTCTATAGCTTGACTGTGCGCCTTTATTAAAACACTTCTATGCAAAATGCAAATTTATGTGACATGATACTACTTCAACCAACAACAAAGTCCTTAAAACACCTGCAAAGACTAAAAGAATGGGGTTTATGCTGAAATAATATGGAAACAATCAAGTCAAATCAAAACCATTATGTAAAGAAGCATTAAGACTAAGTTAGTTATTGATTGTATTTGAACAATCTTGCATTTACTGTCACTGAAGATGAATGTTCACACAATTAGATCATTAGCAAATGGCTGGAATACATGTACTTAACTCCAGACATGTCTGGTGTTTGACAAGATACACTGTGCAGGCCTGCATGCTAAAATATGTTACTGTGAACCCAATCATACAAATTGCAGGTTTTAGTGTGAATGTTCTGGCCTATGGCAACTATAGCCTAGGGTGATTTTCCACATGCAGTGTGACTAACCTGAATATCCACAGCACTTTTGCCTATTTATTCCTTATGCATATCACCACTTGTATTTCTTCCATAACATTAACAGTCTACTAATCACTGCTGGAAACAAGACAGTAAGCCAGACAGACCCTTGGTCAGCTCCAGAGTGTCAATTCTCAGGTTCTTCAGATTTTTAACTGAGGAGACTGTTTCTCAAGCTTTTTTTTTAATACACATGTATACTGAAATTGCCCTACACCACTCAGGCTGTAATTCACAACCAAATGCTGCCACACAATATGAACAAGGAGAACATCGCAGATGAGAGGTGCTGAAACAGAAGTACAGCTAATTCAGTTTCTCCAGCATCTCTCTGATTCAGAGCAGTACATTTCACATTTAGTAGCTAACAGTGGCTACTGTTAGCCACTAATATCTAGTGTTCGGATTCATTCCTTACTGAAAATTTCCACAGAAAAAGCTTTGGAAACAAAGATTACACACAGACATTATTAACTGTGCATTGTGAAAACAATTATGAAAACTGTGAAAGCAACAGCAGATGTGCCTGCTTACAGAAATTTCTCTCCACTTCATGATGTAGCAGGAGCCACACAATTACCAGAAGGGTG